TTTGTTTTTTTATTTCCTGATTTTATGGTTTCCTGATATCCAGATTTTATGATTTTCTTATGTTTTGAATTTAAGATTTTGACGTAGGACTACGTCTGTGATTTCTATATGGGGGTACACTTTGTGAAAGCTGAAAATGGGACATGTAACAAAATTACACACTAAGATTATTTTACCGAAATCTGTGAAATTTTACCTAAATCGCAACAGCTGAACGTTCGGTAAACAGTTGGTGATTTTGCACAGATATTCGGTGAAAAATTACGGGAAATTTGTGAAAAATCACCGAACTGTTTACCGAACGTTCAGCTGTTGAGATTTCGGTAAAATAATCTAAGTGTGTATGAAAGATTTTAAACGTTAATAACTCATTGCTGCCTTTGGACCAATTTTAATAATTTTATCACCAATCGATCAGAATTATTTCAACGCATCTGTGAAATTTAAGACTTTATCATTTTTTATAATGTTAATATTGAAAATTGCACGAATGTGCAACTGTTGCTATGATAGTTAAAATTATCACCAATTGCCTGCGAAAATCAGTTTCCCTAACACAGATTTCAAAGTTGAATTCCAACTGGTCTCACCAAACGGTGTTTATTCAATCACCGCGTGTGGTGAGTAGTGGTGTTCTCCAGTACACAACGAAAGGCTGCCTGCAAGCAGCGAACTGCAGCCCACATGAGCATCCATAGAAGGAAGAAGAAACCGCACAGCTATTGATCGGAATCAGTAGCTCTTCGTGAGCCGCTGTGGGCCATGTCAAGTGCGTCATCTATAGAGTATAAACAGAGAGAACCCCGCTCAAATTCCTTATCCGCTTCCCCCGCTCCAAAGTTAACATTCCTTATTAGAGATTTGAGTAGATTTTTCTCCTTTACTCAAATCATGGGTTATTATTAGTTAGGTAGGTTTTACACGATTCTACACGTTGTAGTTTCATTTTTATACCTGTGATCTTGACATTTTTACTTAGGGGATGAGTACTTAAGGGGGTTACGTTTTTGATAAGTCTTTAGTGGGAATTACACTGATGAAGACTGCACATTGTAGTCGAAATACGTATCTGTCATGGATACCAAAATTAATTAAGTGGAATTAAATGCAAGAAAACCCTTTTTTTCTGTTTGAAAACAAATAAGATTTATTATATTTTAAGACCTCGTAGTCCTACGACACCATTTCGTACAACCCCATAGAGCTGTCCTTTGTAGTTTTTTTTTGTAATTTCTGATTTTCCGGATGTCTGATTCTCCAATTTTCTGATATTCTGATTTTCAGAATTTCTGATTTACTGACTTTCTGATTTTCAGCACCTCTTAGTGAATTGCCCAGGTTTCCAGGGAATAAGGGATATTTATGGGATCCCGACGAACATTAGAAACGCCTTGGCCAATGACCCTTCAACCGAAGCAGCTGTTATATGTTTCATCAAGGACGCCAACATGTATGAGAACATCTGACCTAACTCACTGACAAGAACCAACCATAACCGACCCACTGCATCGAACCAGGACCAACCTCTATAACGGACTCTGAATACACCACCATAACATCTACTAACTACGACAGCACCACGACAGCCATCTCTGATAAACAAATACTCTGTTACTAGAGAGGTCTCTTCTGGACTGTCCACTCCTCTTAATAAGTGGGTCCCTTCTAGATATCCCACCTCATTAACTCTATAACTTCTGGCTCCCCACCGCTATTTCAAACTCTGTCACTAGGGGGGACCCCTTCTGGATTCCCCAATATTCGTCAAGAGATGAACCATCTTCTTCTTCTTATCCGCATTTCAAGCTTATTGCTTATCGCATATTAGCTTATTGCGTGCTCTCAACCTAGTGTTCTGATTTTCTGATTTTCTGATTTTCTGATTTTCTGATTTTCTGATTTTCTAATTTTCAGATTTTCTGGTTTTCTGATTTCTGATTTTCTGATTTTCTGATTTTCTGATTTTCTGATTTTCTGATTTTCTGATTTTCTGATTTTCTGATTTTCTGATTTTCTGATTTTCTAATTTTCTAATTTTCTGATTTTCTGATTTTCTGATTTTCTGATTTTCTGATTTTCTGATTTTGTGATTTTCTGATTTTCTGATTTTATGATTTTCTGATTTTCTGATTTTCTGATTTTCTAATTTTCTGATTTTCTGATTTTCTGATTTTCTGATTTTCTGATTTTCTGATTTTCTGATTTTCTGATTTTCTGATTTTCTGATTTTCTGATTTTCTGATTTTCTAATTTTCTAATTTTCTTATTTTCTGATTTTCTGATTTTCTGATTTTCTGATTTTCTGATTTTCTGATTTTCTGATTTTCTGATTTTCTGATTTTCTGATTTTCTGATTTTCTGATTTTCTGATTTTCTGATTTTCTGATTTTCTGATTTTCTGATTTTCTGATTTTCTGATTGTCTGATTTTCTGATTTTCTGATTTTCTGATTTTCTGATTTTCTGATTTTCTGATTTTCTGATTTTCTGATTTTCTGATTTTCTGATTTTCTGATTTTCTGATTTTCTGATTTTCTGATTTTCTGATTTTCTGATTTTCTGATTTTCTGATTTTCTGATTTTCTGATTTTCTGATTTTTGGATTTTCTGATTTTCAGATTTTTTGATTTTCTGATTTTCTGATTTTATTTATTGATTTTTTTTTATTACTGAATTTAATTTTTTTTTAATATCTTGTTTAGCTGATCTTCTGATTATCTGTTTTCTTAAATTCCTGAATGTCTGATTTTATTTATTTTTTTTAATTCTGATTAGCTTAATCCGTACAATTACTGATTTTCTTTTTAATGATTTTAATTTTTTCTTATTTTCTGATAATATGAATTGCTGAATTTATTTTTATCTGATATTTATATTTTCTTATGTTCTGATTTTCATTTTTTTATTTTGTTTAGCTTAATCCGTGGAATATAAGATTTTCATATTTCGGATTCATCAAAGTCCTGATTGTTTGATGTTTTTTTTATTATTTTTTTTCAGGATTATTTTTTAATTTTAATCTTCTGGAACTTTGTTGTTGGAATTAGTAGCTTGTAAAGTAGAAGGAAAGTCCTTCTGCAGTGCCCCCTTAAATGTCTACGTAATTAATGAACAGATCCTTAGTGGTTTCATCAATTTTATTTCTTAGATTATATTTTCTCATTAAGTTTCTGTATTTGATTTTAGTTCACGTTCTGATTTACTGAATTTCTGATCTACTGGTTAAATAATTCAACATAAAATTTTATAGTAACAGAAAATTCACAGTGAAATTTAATGTTATTTCGTTGTTTATTATGATTTCTTTTTGTTTCGGGTAGTTTCTTTAAAAAAAATAAGTTTTCTTTAAAAAAAAATAATATGCTTTATCAGTTATCTTCGTTTTTTCGGCTGTGATTTTTATGTTTTTTAAGTCTTTGAATTTTTTTCAGTTTTATGGTTGTTGTCCTCTGCACTTTCTTAAAGGTTTTTTTGTATTCAATTTGATTCCAATATCTGTTTACTGTTTGCTGTTTAAAGAGATTTGTTTCCTATTTCTTTTGGCTGTGGTTTATGTGGATCTTTTTTTCACTTAACTAATTGTATTTCCTACATTTTGTATCCTGTTTGTTTTGGTTTATTTCCTGCGATCTGATCACTGTTTTAATCTTCTTTTTGTGTTTATTTTTTTAGTCTCAGAGTTCAATTTTGAATCATCTTTTTTCAGTATTGTAATTTTTTATTTACCTCATAGATTTTCATGTAAGCTGTTTCTGTTTTCAATTAAGTACCTGTTTGTTGCTGTTGTTATATGTTTTGTTATGTTGTAAGGATCTTTCTTCATACTGCATATTTTACTGTTCTCTGCTTCCAGACTGTTTTCTGATATTTGCATCATGTGTTAATTTTGTGTGCTGTTTGTATTGCAATATTAAGTGCACTTGATACACCACGCGGCCTTCTGGATTGTCCCAACAGGGTTATTGCACAAACTTTCACGCAGCCTTTGCTTTTAGAAGCGAATGACTGTGCCTAACTAAGTGGCCACAATGTTATTCCCCGTTAGGATCGAGCAAACAGGAAGCGAAAAGTGCGGCGCATTCGTTTGGCTTAAACAAAGTTCACGTGAAATTTTGGGGAAATACTTCAACAGGTTGCTTTTAACACATTTCTGTTTAGTCAATTTCTGAGGTTCTTTTTTCCAATTTCTATTCCCTATTTAACCTACAATTTCTATCCTTTAGTACTGATTGCTCACATTAGTTTTTTTGTTTTCTGCTTTTTTTGTTATTGTTGTTTATAATAATTATGAAATTTGGTATTGAAATTTATTATTTCAATTATGTTTTGCAAATTTTGATTTTATTTTACCAGTTGTTGTTTGTAGTTTTAATTTGTTTTCGTTCCATAATGTTTTACATTCTTTATGTTTCATCATCATCCATTTTCCAGTTTGATTTTTCAAGTCCCAAGTTAAGTTTAGTCTCGTGTTTTATTTCAATATTTGATATACATTTTATAAAATTTCCTCTGTTTGTGTTCTCCATTTTTGTCTTTAATGTCTTAAAAAAATGTGTTTCTTTTTCATCATTTTTGAGATTATCTTATGATCTTTCTTTATATTTAATATAACTGGTTACTGTTTTCTGCTCTTCTCTTCGTTTTCATTTTGGGTTAACTAAAACAGATTACCTTCCTTCTGTATTGTGTTCTCGATTAGATGTTTTGAATTTTGAATTTTGAATTTCAATTTCTGTTCTCTAGATTCAGTATACAGTTTCTCCATTTCTGTTGTCTATTTGTGGCAAAATTTACACCATTCAGAAAGACCCAATGTTCCCCATCGAAGCACACAAGTCGCTCTTTCCAGCGAATAATCTTATCATGACTTTTGCATTACAACGATTGTTGCAAATGCTAGTCTTCCCTTCTCGATCGATTCGATGCCGTTGCACAAGTCACTTATTGTGCCATAATGGGCTGACATGTAATATCCATTGAACCCCATCGATGATAACCTACCTTCGATAGCGTGCTCGGATGCGGATAGAGGTTCACCAGACAACTTTCACGCCGAAGTCGATAATCCCAGCGTGTTTCCAGGTGTGGGATCTGCAAGAAAATGGAGAAACGGAAAAAAATGCTTAGTCAATCTTTGTGCTGATAGAAATAGCTATATATTGGAGTATGGGGGAGAAAACTCGGAAAGCTAGCGTGTGATAAGCTGTGTCACTTTACCCAGATCCTAGATTGGGTGTTCTTTGTTGAAGATTAAGTGCAGAAACAGGTGAAGGGACATGATACTATCGGTCGGTGGCTTTAGCTTTGCATGACAATGATAGTTTTTCTTCTTCCTCTTCTTTGTATAGAGGCAGACACCGAGACTTTGTTTGAATAATAAAATCACGACAAGTTCACTCACATTGCAGTGCATTGATGTTCGATTCTTTTGATCCAAAATCTAAAACAAACTAAATCTCCCTGCTTGGTCAAATAGTGCAAAAACCGGCGGGCTCTCCAATCAGGACTGAATCCAGTGCATTTTCAAAGTATTTCGAGCGATGGTGAAAGCCTTCATCTAAATCCACTAGCCAATTGCAAAACGGTTGCGACTCATTTTTTTCACACCCAAACTCAAACTCAATATGAATAATCCAACATCGGTGAGTTTCATTCCATTATTGGGGAGGAGCTCGGTTCCCCTATTCCGATTGCTGGTTGTCAGTCGGTATGTGCGGCAAAAAATGTTTTCCACGTTTGCGGGGTGGATCGAGCTACGCATATTTTCCCATTTGTCTCGTACCTGCGTTCTGCTGCTAATAATGCACATACCAATGAAAGTATAATGCCGTGTGACAACAAAGTGACGTAAACGTCACTATGACAAATTTTCGCTTTATTTTGCATTTTCATATTCAGTGCATCAAACAGCACATATTGATATCTAGTTGCTGTAGAATTTTGCTGCCAGAGCTCACACTAAAGTCCTCTTAGTAAAAGTATGGACGTCTGTCAAAAGTTGTTTCAATCGAACCGTCAAAATGCGCTGCTTTGATCGATTGAAATAACTATTTTTCAATTTTATGGTGACAGATGTCCATACTTTTACTAGAGTGCTTTAGCTCAGATTACCCTCTCCCTGTTTCCAATGAGTCAAATGTTTCAAATGTTTATTTGGGGTTGTTTATAAACAACGTACATCTATAAAAAAAAAATTGTGGTTTAGTATACATGACACGACCGCATGGTTGCAGTAGACTACGTTAAGCCACAGACAATCAGACATAACACTCGCAAGTCAATTTAAAAGCATCGTAGTTGGTAGTACCGCCACCTGTGGCGCGCATAGTCAATTCCCTTGCGTTTGAAGTTTACACACTAGCGCCATCTGTTCAGCGTACTACACACCACAGTATACTCAAAAGATTCCTTTGGTTTGTTTTTTCCGTCGATCTTGTTTTCCGTGCTGAGCACCAATGCTACCGACGTGCCAGGAAGGCAGCTCCCACACCTGGACCCTACCTATCGACCCATACTCAACAGATGGCGGTAATGTTTTAGCGACGATGTTACATTTGACTTCTAAATTACAATCCAATATGAGTATTAAAAAAACCCATATTGATCCACCGGGCAGGTGAATAGAACCTTTCTTACACAGTATGATCTCGTTTATTTTTTTTTTATTGGTCTCAGTTTCTGCACTGCTCAATAAGTAGGAGAACGGTTGCTGCTGCAGCTGGTTCTCGTTGAATTTGCATTTTTTTTTCCTTCACCTGGCATGCCATTGGCACTGTGCTGTAAATTCTCAAAAACAATTGAACATTTTTCATGAAAATGAGAAAAGCAGCTATCCGCTATCAAAGCGGACCTCCTTCGAATGGGTGATATCATTTGCTTAGTCATTTGACGAAGGCATGGATCATTCTCATTTGAGAAACGCTATATATCTTTCAATTAAGTGTAACCTGCATATAAACGGAGCTCTGGTTGACATTCCGGCGAAAAAGCTAAGCCAACCTGACACCAACCTGACTTCTACCAAACCTCAGGTGTGCTGGAAAATGAGATCCGTGATGCTGTCACCTACTCTGAACACGCCAAGCGCAAGCGGCCATGAATGTCATCCACACTTTGAAGCGACAAAGTCGCACTCTGTACGGTTTCGGAGGTTAAATCATCTCCATCTTTGGCAACAAAACGGCCCTTTTCAGGGCCAACAAGCTTAATACAGTTAAGAGTTGGAATAGAGTTTTATCTGTGCCTGTTTGTCCATATTCAGAACCACACGCCTCCAAAGACCCCGCAAAATGCTCTCCAGAGTTGTAATCTTGTAACAAACTTGGAAGCAGGGGTGCAAGTGATTTTGATCGATTTCGTTAATAACTCGACGGCAAACACATTCATCAATACGTTTGTTGTTCTGGATGATAGAAGAGCATAGCAGAAATAGTGCGAAATAGGTTAGTGAAGTCATGGTCATCAAAAAAGGAAATCAATGAAGAGAATTGACTTTCACCAACCTGCTTCTAATCCCCCTAATTCAGTCGTCGTCATAGCAATGAAAACTAGCATCGCACCGCTTTTGGTTCTTGGTTCACACTTGCTGGCTGCAATTCGGCTGTTCGACATTTGCGAAGGACCCCCAGAGAAACATGAAATTACACTATTTTCTAGGAATGCCTAAAAGTCCAATTATTCGATTAACGATTAATCATAAAGATTTTTCCAGGTAATCGATTAAATATTTATCGAATTTACAATTATTCCAGCGTGTAACCGACATCCCTTCTTATGTCTACTCGTTTACTACCATGACGTAAACCAGGATCATACATTCGCCGAAAAAAGTGATAAGCGTCTTTCTGCTAAAGACTATGATTTACTAACTTGTTGAGATAAGGAGTTTAACGAGAAAAACTAAAAAGGGAAGGAGCTTTTATTCTGCGGCGTTCCAACCGGTCGCAGACACCAGTTCAACCCCTGTCCAGCAGCAGACGGGCCGAGACTCTTGCAAGTGCCTAATCATTAAACCGTCTGATTTGCTGATCCTGCTGCCAACACGTCATCATTATCTTCCAAAGACTTTAAGCCTGTACTACCATTGGCCCTTTTCAGGGCCACCAAGATTTTCCAGAAGAGCTAAATTTCTAAACATGTCCCAACTAAAATTCATATCAAAAGGTTCATTTCAGGGCAATCAAAGTCATACTAAAGAGTATAAACAGAGAGAACCTTGCTCAAATTACTATTCCTAAACAAAACACAAGCTCCTGCTGCAGTTAACAAATAACATTTATTATGTAAGATCACGTAGTCCTACATCCTACGGCGAATGCAAACTGTTCGTAGAGGAGAAGAATGCAGCAAGGGCGAGAATGCTGCAACACCGCACGAGATTGAATGTGGAGCGGTACAGACAAAATTCGGTTTTCCGAAGGAAGAAGTGTCAACAGGAAGACCGCGATCGCGAGGCGATGGAAAATCTGTACCACGTAAACGACACACGGAAGTTCTACGAGAAGCTAAATAGTTCGCGCAAAGGCTACGTGCCGCAAGCCGATATGTGCAAGGACTTAGACGATAACCTTCTCACGAACGAGTGTGAGGTGAATGAGAGGTGGAAGCAGTATTATGACGAGCACCTCAACGGTGGTGCAGCAGAAAACGAAGGTGGCACGGCAACAGACCTTGGTTGATCAAGGCGACGATGGATCGAGTGATGTGCGTTGTTAGAGTATTGGGGACACTCTCGAGTCCCTTTGAATCTCGAAGGGGGTTACGGCAAGGTGATGGACTTTCGTATCTGCTATTCAACATCGCGTTAGAAGGTGTGATAAGAAGAGCTGGGATAGACCTGAGTGGCCCGTCTTCAGGAAGTCCATCCAGCTTCTTGGCTTCGCCGATGACATCGATATCATGGCACGAAACTTTGAGACGATGGCGGAAACGTATATCAGACTGAAGGCTGAAACTAGGCGGATTGGAATTGCCATTAACGCATCAAAGACAAAATACATGAAAGAAAGAGGTTCTAGGAAAGACAATGTTAGCCTCCCACCCTGAGTTCAGATTGTCGGTGACGAAATCGAGGTGGTCGATGAGTTCGTGTATTTGGGCTCACTGATTACCGCCAAAAATGGTACCAGCAGAGAAATTCAAAAAAAATCAGTTTTATTTTACTAAAAGTTTTCTTACTCATTAAATTACCTCATACCGATTCCAAGAGTTAATCTGGTTTGCTCTAGGTGGCTATTGCTATTGCTCGATTATTTTTTCGAAGGGACGTATCAGCTTTTGTATATAATGCATTTGATCGTCGATTTGGCGTAACTGGTAGCTCAGGGAAATTTTCCCCTACCTGATAGTGGTGTTAGTATGCGTGGTGTAGGGTTGAGACTGGGACTGATTTGAACCTTTTATGTTGAGAGTATTGATAACTCAGATTTGAGTAACTTGACAGTAGGCGTAGACAGTTTTGGACAGAGAACGTAGACGGGAGGTACGGACGTGAGTGAGAGGAAGGCAGGTGAAATTGAACGGAACATACTGGACTGCGGATCAGCAGAGAAGAGCGGAAATGGCTTTGGACCCGGTCCCTACACGTGGGTAAGCTACCAGTTACTCCAAATCGACGATCAAATGGATTGTTTACAAAAGCTTATACGTCCCTTCGAAAAAGTAAACGAGATTTGTCAAACCAGAGATTGACGGATGGATGGTCTACCAAACTTCGACCCCAAGATGGTCGAAGCTGGAATCAACCGGTACAATCGCTGTCTTCCGAATGACAAGGAGAGACGAAAACGTGAAGACGTACCCGGATTGCCTCTTCCTGGTGCACTTCCAGAAAGGGACGGTGACGCAAACGATCTACTCCATCATCGTACGGTGAGAGCCATACCGTGGCGGCCATCGTGACGCAGTGTCAGAGGTGCCTCAATTTTGGACACGGTACCCGCAACATCAAGCCACGCTGCAGCAACTGCGCTCAAGAACACGCCACTTCCAACTGCCCTGCGTATGGAGCCGTGGCGATAAAATGCGCAAACTGTGGTTCCGACAGACAGTGCTCCAAACGCGAGGACTTCAAACGCATCCGAAAGCAGGCG